TCTATTCCCCCTCGACGCGTACTCTTTATCTACCTAGCTACGAATACCCATACGTAACCCGGTGAAGGGTCTGAATTTGCATTTTATTCGCAGTTGTGGACCGCGGGTTCGTGGGTAACGTTCCTCCGCGGTACGAACATTTATTTTAATTAAATTACTCCGGAGCGTCGAACAACCCATTTCCTATAAATTATCCCCTCACCGGTCTTTTGGTCTCTCGCGCGTCCGCTCGGTCGGTCGCGGTGGCGAGCGAGCGTGCGCGCGCGCGCCTTCACAGGCATTAATGTACCCGCTGATCCCACGGTGCCATTGAAATGAAATAAAAGCACAGGCGAGGACGAAACGTTCTGCCCATTCTCACCGCCGCGAGAGAGTTCGCCATGCAGCTTCCCTTTCATTTACCACGTAATCATTTTCCACTAGCGAGCGCGTATGCACGTACACCGATTAACCCGTGGGGCTACGCATGTGGACACGCGCCGCTGCGACTGTATATTGGTATCGCGGACCATAATTTAGCCGGAGCTTAATCGCTTCGAATCAAAAGTTCGCCGGAGAAAACGCTTCCGCGGTAATCGTCGTGAAGCGAACATACGCGGTAATGGTTTCGGTTATCGAGCAACTTCTGCTTAATCAACTACTAAATGTCACTGTCCTTTTGCACCGAACCGTTAATCGTCGCCTTTTTCACTCTTAATAATTCAGTTGAGGGGCTAGTTGTTTTTACAGAATCGACGAAATCGATCTTTACGCACTTGCACATTTTTCGTTTCATGGAAATTCACGGAAAATTTTGAGGTTATAGAGGTTCAAAGAACGTAAATAGTAACGTCTATGTAATCGGAGAGCCGTGAGAAACTTTGAAATGTTTTTCAAACTGGCTGACGCAATTTCTCGACAGTCGATGTAAAATTAGAAATTAAATTTTGTTTGTAATTAATGGTATAGAGAATAGAGATAAATGTTACCGATTCGAGTAAAATTTGTTTAATTTTTATTTTCGACGATTAAAACGATTGGAATCGTATCAATCGTAAAAGTTAAATTTTTAGGATCTACGCACATTGAAACCTAACTTAACCTCAATCGTAGATATTGTTTATTTTGCGATGTAACATAGCGATAATTTTTATAAAGTACTAATAAGTACACAAAAGGACAAACTGGTCGATATTTTTTTGTTTGTAAGAATAAAAATCTCGAACGTTGCCTATTCTTCACACAGTTCTGTGTGGATTTTTAATCTGTAATTGTATGGAAGGGATACAATATTTAACGAGAGTAGTATGTTATAATCAGAAAGTATACGACGTATAAACAGGCACAGAATATCAATCGATATAATTTACTCTATAGCCACAAATCTAACCAAATATCCTGGCTCCATTATTTTCTTTAAATATGAAAATTAAACATGTATATTCATATAACTATTGTACTAGTAATTTACGAAAACTATCTGATACTGCGTACCACAAGTTTAAACGGTTTATAACGGTTATGACAAGCGCTTGCGCGCCTTTTCTCGAAACTACGTTACATAGGTTAAGTTTACATGCAACGTACGTTTGTCGTAAATACGTACTGTATCATGCTTTTCGTTGATTTACGTATGTTAATTATGAAATCTTTCAATGAATTAAATACTGTTTACTTACTTGGTAAGGAACATCTACTCCGCGTGTTATCGCAACATTTGATGTCATCACACAAAAGTCCATAGCATTCCACACGTACAAAACATTGTCACGAATTTCTAAAATATTTCGTGTGTCTTTAATATTTTTCGGTAAACTATTTTTCAATTCCCGAAACAAATGATTCTCGTTTAAACGAAGTGGATCTGTATACGAACACATTTTCACAGAAAACAAGGTTATAACAGCACGCACTACGCTGTATGACAATAACGAAGTTCCCTAACTGGTATTTTTGGCGCGCGATACTGCCAACTTCGGAATATTACGCGAGTGTGGCAACACTGTCGTGTAAACTTGGGAGCTCGTACGCATTTTGATGTATCGAACTTTGTCGTTCACTTAAATAAAACAATATTGTTTATCCGACAGTATTACGTTGTATTAAGTGTGTGTTTAAAGTGTATGTTTAGAGTTATAGTAATTGCGTAGTAACACCTCTGGAAATATATTGGTGAGTACACGTTGCATATGCGTAGTATATTTTCGTATAACAGACATACGTATTACTTTTTTATTTTACCATATATATTTATATTATGGATTGCTTAATGTGCAATTTGAAATAGTTCAAAATATGATATACCGTAATCCTAAGCAACAAAATTGAACAGTAATATTTTAATCTTTATTTTCATTTCACGAATTTGAATTTTTGCAATGTTACGAAGTATTTCGAAATTATTGCACTATTTTTACAAACTTAGTTTACTGACGAAATAAGAAGTATAACAATACATTAAATTCAATGTGAAATAATATTTTATAATAATATTTCACCTTCTTGAACATGTCAAGTAAATCGCATTTCAACTGTATAAAATTTTTAAAAAATATTGATCCCTAAATTTTAAAACTTAGGAACCGACAAGGCCCCGGAGGGATTCGAACCCTCGATCTCCTGTTTACTAGACAGGCGCTTTAACCAACTAAGCCACGGCGCCGTTAAAGTCAAGTTTAAATATAGACATTTAAAAGGTGTTTATAATAGAATTAAAAATTGCACATATTCACATTCCTTGTATCCTTGAAGAGTATTATAATAAAATTGCAATACAATTTTCTTCCTAAATTCAAATTAACAAAGAAACGTAACTAAGAATTGATACGATGAAATTTTCAAAAATGTAACGTATGTTCAATGTGTTAACATTAACGAAAGAATAAAAAGTAATTTAACAAAGTGAAGCAACATAAATAGCGAACTTATATTCGTCACAATATTTATGTATCAAACGGTATAACGCAACTGCTTTGAAAAGAGAAAATTATTTAACAAATAAAGTGTTATTACAAGTTTATTTGAATTCTTTTGAAAAAATATATTCGTTAAAAGAATAGAGAGTATTTTACAACTTTGCAAACCATTACTAGATGTAAAAAAAAAATAAAAAAATAAAAAACAAAAGGAACCGCCCCCGGGTGGGCTCGAACCACCAACCTTTCGGTTAACAGCCGAACGCGCTAGCCGATTGCGCCACGGAGGCTGTTGGTGACACGTGATCCCAAACTGAAATAGTTGTTCTTTCACCTACTTTCTTTTCTTAATTTAACGTACCTCAGATTACCATCAATTTCTCTTCGAGCGTTTAACCTAACATCAGAATTATTATACTCTCTCATTTACCGAAAATAATGGTTACCGTTACATTTTAAACGAAATATTTTATACTTTACTTTCGATATACTTAAACCTCAATTTTTCATTACAATTCCACTGCGATTTAATCTTATTTTATTACACTTTACGTATTCAAGTGTCCAGATATCGCGTATATCGTCGCAAAAAGGACTTTCAAACACGAAAATCGCTGTGTGAAATTTCCCTAACTTACGTTTCGCGATTATTTCATAATTTCAACAGTTCTCCGTGAATTATTAAACAGCACGTATAGAGGGCAGGTCGAGCAGATGTGCTACACTTATTAGAATCGGCCGGCAACGAAACGTGATCGGCTGAGGTAAGTGTGAAAGAAGGGCTGCGTCGAAAGAGGACAATAATGCGTGGTGTGTGCTAACCGGGAAATAGTGTGGCAGTTGCGTCGAAGCTATTATACGGTTAATTAAATGGGGTTGGCTCATTAGTAACTGTCTATATGCAAGGCGATGGCCGAGATGCGATTGGAGGGTGGTCCCAAGGTGATTTATCCGTCACGATGGATCGCAGATGTTCGACTGGTACGTGGTGGCTTGGGTCGTCACAATGCTGTATTTAGGAACGTGTCCCGTTCATACGCATGCATAGCGAAATCGTCCTCCTTCTTTTTTCTCTCGTTTGATGGATCAATGATTCGCTTGTAATTACCGTGGAACATGCGTGGCGTTTTTTTTTTTCGTAAAGATTTATGGGTAGGTTCTTTTCATTCGTATACAGGGTGTATCGTAAATTGTTTCTATAAAAATGGAATCAAATTTTTTCACTGTAGCTTCCATTCACAACAACAAATCGAATTTGACACTGAGTGGAGCATCATTTCTGTGAAATGGCGTTCTAACAGGCGATATATGATTCGTTGTGAAAAAGTGGAATGAAATTTTTTCACCGAAGCTTCGATTTTTGAAGAAAAAAATTGAATTTGAAAATTGAAGGGTGCACCGAGTGAGGCATAATTTATTATAATGTAGGATAATTTTGGAACTAATTAATACTGAAACTTAATTCGATATGGTTATTATTTCAATATTAGTTAAGTTCTGCCTAAGTTAGTGTCATTTGTATGTACTAACACAGAAAAATGTTCCATTATTCATTCATACTATATTGTCGATGTTTAACCCTTTTACTACCTTATAATTTTTTTATGTAGCGCCCAAAAATACCTTGGAAAATGTAAAGTTATAAAGTGAACATATTTATCTGAAAAATAAAGATAACTTCACACTTATTTCTGAAATTTACATATTCCTGTTCAGTGGGAATATTTCCTACTGTAAAAATTCATTTTATAACAATAAGGTGTCATTGCACGTGTTAAAATTGCATTAAAAATAAAAAGCCGATATATGGACTTAAGGTATGTATTTCTCAGGAAAAATGCAGAGTTGATATCTCGGCTCTAAGAGGGTTAATACCACCAACTGGCGATTAATGTAACGAAGGATAAACGATAATCAAATCATTTTCTCGAAAATCAAAATTTCAATATATTTTTCCGCGAAGGATTTATTCCACCCTCTGGTACCACATTTTACGGAAGATCCTGTATAGACAAAGATCGACCTCCTCGTTTTCCATGCTTTGTGTCGCATCCTTGAAGAATTTTTCGATCGATCAGATAAAAAATTCGAACACATTTAAAGAAATTGTGTTTTAAATTATCAACAAGGCCAGAATGGAAACATTCGAACGATATTTCTCGAACCGATGGCTGCTCCGCAAGGCAATCCTCTCCATAACGCGATCCAATTGATTCTAACATTAAAGCAGCTTTCCAAGGACACTTACCAAGAGAAGACACTTTGGTTTGGGCATGCTGACATTAACGACCCGTTTAAATTGTGCGTTTAATTACAAGTAAGAGACAGTCACCGTGAAATTTATCGGTCACTGTTACCATTCCCTTCGCTCCTAATCTACGAAGCGGATATCCACGGCTAAACGCAAGAGAACAAGTCCTTTGCGCGCAATAAGACGCTTCTCGTTGCTTTCCACTGCCTATGGCTCTACCCTGAGATTAGATTTATCAGAAAGATACTGTAACTTTTCCTAAGCCGCAACGAGACGTCTTCCGGAAGCGAATTAAACAAACCCTCCGTCAATTTCAAGATCTCATCGTCACAACGTCACAGCGATTCGTGAAAATTTCTTATTCGATAAGACGAGGAATTTCTGGCTATAAATCTAAGGCGGTTCCGCCGAGAGATCGAGCTTTACCTCCGCGAAGGTTTACAGGTTCGCGTTCTCAGCCACTTTTAGCCCTCTCTCTCTCTCTCTCTCTCTTTTCCGTCGTTTTACACCTCGAAAATCCGTGCGGAGAGCAAGGCACTTTGCAAGCCACGGCCGGATGTCTATGATAAAGGTGAGCGCGGCCTGTAACGATATAATGGGTGAACATTGCTCACGAAATCATGACGAATTCATTCGAACTGCGAATTACCTTCCGGTCGACGGAGTTTCGCTAAATGTCCGGAAGAGGGTACATATGCAAAACGCGTGATCATCAATATTCCATCGTGGTAAACCTGGCCGAGGTATCTGGAAATTCTGTCTTGCCCCTGGTGTTTGCTTACTTCACCGGATAAATTAGAAACCGTCGATTAATCAACAATTCTGCTTCGTTAACCGCACGTTACTCCTCTTTTTCATGCATACATACATACAGCGGTATCGCCTTACACTGGATATTTCGGTATAGTATACTCTGTAGTTTTAAAAACGAAGGAAACCTCTGCTATGTTTTAATTGTTGAAATATCGTTGCAATTTGTTTCGGTGATTTTTAGTTTTTCTTTTGTTTCTGAAGCTTTTTACATTGTCCTTTTTTACATAGCGATGTTTATTTGACATAAGAGCAGGTTAGTAGACAGCCATTTTTTATTTTGTCAATTTTCTTCAGCTAGATTGGAGTAGATAAGAATATTAATTAACAGAATATGAAAATGCGTTGTATTTTATTGCATTTTATTTTTATACGGTATTCTGGAATCAATCAAATGTTAAAAGTCTGGAACGATTTGAGAATAACTATTATGTCATTTTTCAAAAGGTAAAAAATAGTCATTATGTAAAACGTGCAGTTAGTTTGCTCACTGCGAGGTTTCTAAAAGTTTTTCAGAAATACTTGCACTCACGTTTACGAGTATTAGGACACTTATCGAAAGCTGCTGAGTTTTATTAAAATCCTTTGGAACCTCCAGAAATCCACTAAAATCTACCGAATTCTACTAAAATCGTACAAAATTCGTCACAGTCATCACAAAATTGTCGAGATCCCCCCCAAATGATGTACATTTTTCCTAATATATGCTACTAACTGGTGAGGAAATGTAATTCAACCCTTTCGTTACCACTGGAATACTCTCAGAAAAATTGGTCTCAGTTCAGTATCTAAAAAATTAAAAAAAAAAAAAAGGAAAATTTGATCACAAAAAGGTTAAATCATACAATACTTTCTACGCATGCACACCTAATGTGTGTCTTAATATTCAGGCTTCGAAAACTCA